TGTCTGTACTTTCGGCCTTTGTAAAGGGGGGGGGCTGTATTGTTTGTATTACTGTAGATACATTTATTTTCTTTCTCTCCATAAGCAGAAAATTTAGGAAGGCTTAAAAAAAAACAAAACACCAGTTCTCCGTGGGACTGCCTGTTACGTGATGACGTCTTTCCCTATCCTCGGCTGGCCGTTTAGAAGAGACAGATTTCTGTACGAATGATACTTCCTGGTCCTTCCTCAGGACCCTCCTTGGCCCTTCTGGCCTTCTGCTGATATCAGAAAGTTCTTCTGCCCGACTTTTGTGTTAATCCAATGGAGTTCCAAGGAAGGAAAATACAATTTCCTCCATTTCTGCATAATGAGACCTTTGTCATGGAGAATGTTGAAGTGGATTTGAGATATCTGTGTTTATACCACCAACACGGGTGGACTGACCATTTGGAAACTCGGGCACTGCCCAGGGGCCCGGGGTCAGTAGGGGGCCCCATGAGGAGCCCCTGGTACCTTTTTCATAGGCTTTTTTGCGTTTGGGCAAGGACACATGGGCCCCATGATCCCCTATTGAGGGCCTGGGGCCAGTAGGGGGCCCCATGAGATGCCCCCGGTACCTTTTTCATAGGCTTTTTTGAGTTTGGGCAAGGACACGGGCCCCATGAGTTGTCAGTCTGCCCCTACACCAAAATGATTAGAATATTTAGGTACATCTCACATGATTAGAAATGATGGCCATCTGGAACAAACCAGACCCCCCGTCCTTTACAAAGCACTCCAGAGTCGGTGGAATTCGACATCTTCAGATGTCTGTTCCTTTTCTTCTTCAGCCCGAGTCTTTGCTCCTTCTGATGTGGCTGGATGGTTTCTTTTGGTTCTCAGCCTTGAAGCCTCCATATTCACTGTTTTGTATCTTTTATCTCAAACTCGCCATCTACCTACCTATGTAGTAGCCATCTATCTTTTCCCTGCCACCCCTCCTATTGGCTCATGGAAAGGACCTTTCTCCTCTCGATTGCACCTTTTCCTGAAGTGCCAAGAGCCAGACGTGAGTGATCCTGGACCTCCTTCCTTCCCACTCCCCTCTATTATGCTGTTTTATGGCAGCTTTTTCCAACTATAGAAAAACCAAAGTTTTGCCAAATCCTATCAGTGAAGACCAGGGGTGGACTGACCATTCGAGCACTCGGGCGCTGCCCGAGGGCCCTGGGTCAGTAGGGGGCCCCATGAAATTCCCCTGGTACCTTTTTATAGGCTTTTCTGAGTGTTTTTTGAGTGTGGGCAAGGACACAGGGGCCTCATGAGTTGTCAGTCCACCCTTGGTGAAGACAATCCAAGTCTACCTTGTCCAAAACGCGTTACCAGCCTGCTGACAAGTCTGTGGCAGCGTGAGGGCCTGTCCCCATCTACTCGTTGAGACTTGGTGGGGGTGGGATGCGTTTTTGAGGCTTTAAAAGTTTGCTATCTCCAATCGGAATGTTTTTTTGGGTTTGTGCACAAATCGTATTGCTGTTCCCAAAAGAAGGAACAGTACTCTTCATTCTGGATCTGAAAACTCACACTATTACCACCACCACCACCACCACCATCATCACCACCATCACTACCACCACCATCATCATCACTATTACCCACCACCACCACCACCACCATCATCATCACTACCACCATCATCACTACTACCACCACCATCATCATCACTATTACCACCACCACCACCACACCACCATCATCACCACCACCACCATCACTACCACCACCATCATCATCACTATTACCACCACCACCATCATCATCACTACTACCACCACCACCACCACCACCACCATCATCACTACTACTACCACACCACCACCACCACCACCATCATCACTACTAACAAAACACCACCACCACCACCATCATCACTACTAACGCCACTACCAGCACCATCATCACTACGAACACCACCACCACCACCACCACTACTACTACCACCACCACCACCACCGAAGGAGTTAACCTACGTTTCTTGATTTGGCAAAGCTCCATGTGCCAGTCCTATTGGCAGTCCACATCCTAGGAGTGGACAATTGGATAATGGTCTTCCTCAATCACCAACAGATGAATGCCAGAGAATGGACTCTTCACTAGGAAGCCGTCCTCGGGATCTGGTGACTATTGAAAGTTAACCTCGTCTTGTCAGAGCCACCGGGCGTTCGGATTCATAGCCCACTCCAGGGATCCTCTTGCCCTCCTCGGGATCTGGAGAAAACTGAAAGTCAACCTCATCTTGTCACAGCTACCAGGCATTCGGATTCATAGCCCACTCTTGCCCTCCTCGGGAGCTGGAGACCACTGAAAGTCAACCTCGTTGTCTCTTGTCATAGCCAGCGGGCGTTCGGATTCATAGCCCACTCCCGGGATCCTCTTGCCGTCCTCGGGATCTGGTGACCATTGAAAGTCAACCTCATCTTGTCACAGCCACTGGGCGTTCGGATTCAAAGCCCACTCCAGGGATCCTCCTGCCCTCCTCGGGATCTGGAGACCACTGAAAGTCAACCTCGTTGTCTCTTGTCATAGCCAGCGGGCGTTCGGATTCATAGCCCACTCTTGCCCTCCTCGGGAGCTGGAGACCACTGAAAGTCAACCTCGTCGTCTCTTGTCACAGCCAGCGGTCGTTCGGATTCATAGCCCACTCCAGGGATCCTCTTGCTGATGTTCCAGCAGAATCTAGCTGTGGTTGAACGTCGCGTACTAATGCTTTGTATAGATGAAGGATTATCATTCGGTCTCCTAGGCTCGTGCTTCTCGCCCTGCCTGTTCTAGAAGCAGCATTGCGTGTTACTCAGTCTATGATCCAATCAGACCCCCAGATCCTTCTCCATGATTGACTTGCCCCATAAATCATATCATGCATATTTATAGCCCCCCCCCCCCAAGTGCACAAATACATTTATCAACATTGAACCTCATTTTCCTCGTTGCCCAATCAAGCACAACGTCCAGGGCAGCGTGGAGGTCAGGGACCTCCTGTAGGGACACCACTGTATAGCTTTGTGTGGTCTGCTAACTCTATCTCAGTAGGAGGGGGTCCCCAAACTAAACCTTGAGGCACCCCACCCACATCCTGGTACCGATCAGAGACTCCATGATTGATCGCTGCTCTTGGAAAGCAAACTTTAATCTACTTTTCAGTTTATTAAAGATTGACTTCTTGAAGTCCATAGACGTCATAGTGGCTGCCTGAGGGTAAGTGTCCACTTTGGCCAAGTCCAATGATTCCGCAGCCCCCCTTTAGCTGACATTCTGATGACTTACCCATAAAAAGAAGGTTTTGTCTGGCAACGTCTACCATGCGTGCCGGGATGTCCTAGCAGATACGTTCATGTGACCAGCCTTGTTCATCTCTCAGGTAGGCCCCAGCAGGGCTTCTTCTCTCCATGAATAGGTGAAGGTGGTCCTCCCTTCCAAGGTGCTAGGTACCTCTGTCCTCCACCCACCTCCAAGCATAACCCTCTGCAGCCAGCAATAGTCAGTCCCCCAGCATCAATATACCACAGCAACAATAGATCCCCCTTTCCTAATCACAATGGTAACCCCCACCAACAATAAATACCCCCCAGCCACAATAGACACCCCCCTCTCCTAAGCACCAATGGTATCCTCCAACAACAATAAATACCCCCATCAACAATAGACCCCCCCCTTTCCTAATCCACAATGGTATCCCCCAACAACAATACATACCCCCATCCACAATAGACCCCTCTTTCCTAAGCACCAATGGTATCCCCCATCAACAGTAGACCCCCCTTTCCTAATCCACAATGGTATCCCCCCAACAACAATAAATACCCCCAGCCACAATAGATCCCCCTTTCCTAATCCACAATGGTAACCCCCAACAACAAATACCCCCAGCCACAATAGATCCCCCTTTCCTAATCCACAATGGTAACCCCCAATGACAATAAATACCCCCAGCCACAATAGACCCCCTCTCCTAAGCACCAATGGTATCCCCCATCAACAGTAGACCCCCCTTTCCTAATCCACAATGGTATCCCCCAACAACAATAAATACCCCCAGCCACAATAGACCCCCCTTTCCTAAGCACCAATGGTATCCCCCAACAACAATACATACCCCCATCAACAATAGACCCCTGACAATGGATCTCCCAGCAAAAATAGATTCCCCAGCAACAATAGCTCCCCCCGCAACAATAGACCCCTGACAATGGATCTCCCAGCAGCCAGAATCAATACACCCTACAGCAGCAAGGAACATAAGATGTACTGAGCAAAAATAGACCTTTCCAGCAACAATAGATCCCCCTTTCCTCAGCAACAATGGTACCCCCACCAAGCAATGATAGATCCCCCAGCAACAATAGACCCCTGACAATGGATCTCCTGGCTCCCAGCATCAATACGCCCTACAACAGCACCAGCATAAGATCTACCCAGCAAAAATAGATTCCCCAGCAGCAAAAATAGACCTTTCCAGCAACAATAGATCCCCCTTTCCTCAGCAACAATGGTAACCCCCACCAAGCAAAAATAGACCTTTCCAGCAACAAATGATTCCCCCCCCCCCCGTGACAACAGATCCCCCCCTGCAGCCGGCATCAATAAACAAGTACCCCATTCAGTTCTGGAGGTACCGGATCTGCGGTTCCCCATGTTCCGGCTGGAAGGAAAGTCCCTGCTCCTCAGATATCTTCAGTACAATGGAAGGGAATCTTCCTGGTCTGTAGTTCCTGGCTGAGGATCTGGCCTCCTTCTTAAGGGCAATTCAAGGTGCCGAGCCAAAATGAGAAACAATAGTTTAGAAATAACTGATCTCAACTCTTGGAGGACTCCAGGGTGTCATACATCCGGTCCGGGTGCTTTAGTTACCTTTTGGTCTAAACCAGGGGTCTCCAAACTGCGGCCCGCGGGCCAGATGTGGCACTTTCCTTGTCTTTATCTGGCCCTTGGGACAATAAGCCTTCCACCGACACAATGCACTATTCCTTCCACTGACACCAACCATGGGGTACTATTCCTCCCACTGACACCAATGATGGGGCACTATTCCTCCACTGACACCAACCATGGGGCACTATTCCTCCCACTGACACCAATGATGGGGCACTATTCCTTCCCACTGACCATGGGGTACTAATCCTCCCACTGACACCAACGATGGGGCACTATTCCTCCCACTGACACCAACCATGGGGCACTATTCCTTCCTGACACCAACATGGGGTACTAATCCTCCCACTGACACCAATGATGGGGCACTATTCCTTCCACTGACACTAACCATGGGGTACTAATCCTCCCACTGACACCAACGATGGGGCACTATTCCTCCCACTGACACCAACCATGGGGCACTATTCCTTCCACTGACACCAACCATGGGGTACTAATCCTCCCACTGACACCAATGATGGGGCACTATTCCTCCCACTGACACCAATGATGGGGCACTATTCCTCCCACTGATACCAATGATGGGTACTATTCCTCCCACTGACACCAACAATGGGGCACTATTCCTCCCACTGATACCAATGATGGGACACTATTCCTCCCACTGACACCAACAAAAGGGCACTGTTCCTCCCACGGACACTAGGGATGAGGAACTAATTTTCCCACTGACACCAACAATGTCATTTTGTACTCCCGCGGACCACCAAGTCTATTGCATTGTTTATTCCCACCAATGCCGGGCATTTTCTACTCTCAGTGGCCACATCCCGGCCCCCCTGAAGTATAAACGACAGCAAATTGGCTCTTTATTTAGAAAGCTTGGAGACCCCCGGTCTAAACATTTGTGGACCATACCAATGGTAAGCCATCGCGGTGTGCTGTTTGTTCATTTGGTTGCCCTTCATAGTCCCACCTATGGGACAACACTCATCAAGTTCACTGCACGGCCTCCTGGGAGATGTAGTCCAGGAAATTGCAGCCATGCCACTTGCAGTGCCGATAATACGCCCCCTCATGTCTGAATCTCTGGATTCTTCTATCTACCCCACTGAATGGGGGGAAACTTTGAGGAGCAAATGAAACCTTGACGTTGGACTTTCCTTCACATTTCTTTCTCTGCCCAGATGGAGGTCGGCTGCAATATGGATTTTGGTTGCTCCCTCATCCCAGTTTAGGAGGCTGAGAACGTTCGATCCCGCGTGAAAAAACAGAACATTGGAAAAATAATTCCTTTTAAATGCCAAACACTAGAACGTGCGACCCGTGCGACCAGAGCCGACCCTTGCGACCAGAGCCGACCCGTGCGACCAGAGCCGACCCTTACGACCAGAGCCAACCCATGCGACCAGAGCCAACCCATGCGACCAGAGCCGACCCATGCGACCAGAGCCGACCCATGCGACCAGAGCCGACCCTTACGACCAGAGCCGACCCTTACGACCAGAGCCGACCCGTGCAACCAGAGCCGACCCTTACGACCAGAGCCAACCCGTGCGACCAGAGCAGACCCTTGCGACCAGAGCCGACCCTTGCGACCAGAGCCGACCCGTGCGACCAGAGCAGACCTGTGCGACCAGAGCAGACCTGTGCGACCAGAGCCGACCCTTATGACCAGAGCCGACCCATGCGACCAGAGCAGACCCTTGCGACCAGAGCCGACCCGTGCGAACAGAGATGACCCTTGCGACCAGAGACGACCCTTGCGACCAGAGACGACCCTTGCGACCAGAAATGACCCGTGCGACCAGAGCTGACCCGTGCAACCAGAGACGACCCTTGCGACCAGAGCCGACCCTTATGACCAGAGCCGACCCTTATGACCAGAGCCGACTCGTGCGACCAGAGACGACCCTTGCGACCAGATCCGACCCTTACAACCAGAGCCGCCCCGTGCGACCAGAGCCGACCCGTGCGACCAGAGCCGACCCGTGCGACCAGAGCTGACCCGTGCGACTAGAGCCGACGACCGTTCGACCAGAGCCGACCCGTGCGACCAGAGCCGACCCGTGCGACCAGAGCCAACCCTTATGGCCAGAGCCGACCCTTATGGCCAGAGCCAACCCGTACAACCAAAGCCGACCCGTGCGACTTGTGTGACCAAAGCCGACCTGTGTGACCCGTTGCAACCAGATCCAACCTCTGTACAGTTCCAGAACTCGAAGGTAAAAATGAGCCAAACTACCGAAAAATCCTGACCCTGACTTCATCTCCACCAACTTCTGCTGTGATAGAAGGAAGAGCGCCCGGTCCCTCCTCTGATACCCAGGGACGGGTACGGCGTGCAGATGCTTGGTGTCCAATATTCCCGCCCTTCCCCTTTCTGGAATGTGATCAGACCAGGGGCAGACTGACAACTCATGGGGCCCCTGGACAATAGGGGATCATGGGGCCCCCGGGTAATAGGGGATCATGGGGCCCCTGTGTCCTTGCCCAAACTCAAAAAAGCCTATGAAAAAGGTACCAGGGGCATCTCATGAGGCCCCTACTGACCCCAGGCCCTCGGGCAGTGCCCGAGTTTCCAAATGGTCAGTCCGCCCCTGGATGAGACATTCCCTTGAATACAAGAACAAAGAAAACAATCCTCGGTCACCCCCGTAATATGTCACTGTGACCCAGTTCTTCCGAAATCCCGCGACCTCCCGATACTTCCACAGATGAGCGCGGTCTCCAGGTGCTCATCGCCTCCACAACGCTTCTCGCCATTTCATTATTTTCCTTTTCTTCTGGTCTGGGCGTAACGTGGAGGCCATTGTGCTGCTATGGGAGGAGGATGACCCAGTTGTGCCGCAGCTCCGGATTCTGGATGTGGGGAAATTCCCGGTCTGACAGATGAATCGGATGGCGGATAATCCGAGGGAGGAATCGGAACTCTGGATACTAGTCTGTGAATTTCCAATGAAGCGGAATGTGTGGCTTCCTTCGATGAGCAATGGACAAATCCCCAGAAGAATGTAGGGGGAGACCACAGCACGGAATGACCATCAACTTCACCAAACCAGCGCAAGATGGATTCTGATTGGTTGGAGGGGCGGACTGACAGCTCATGGGGTCCCCGGGCAATAGGGGATCATGGGGCCCCTGTGTCCTTGCCCAAACTCAAAAAAGCCTATGAAAAAGGTACCAGGGGCATCTCATGGGGCCCCCTACTGACCCCGGGCCCTCGGGCAGTGCCAAATGGTCAGTCCGCCCCTGGTATGGTATGTAGACTATGCAGACCTTTCCATCCCCACCTGTATATACCCTATATACTGCTCTATTCATCTAGAGCTGGGGGGGCCTTCATAGGGTGAAGTATATACCTTACCCCATCATCCTGCAGGCTCCTCCCACATTGGACAACCCATACCCCGACGCTACACCTTCTCCGGTTCTACACCTACCTACTCACCGGTGCCATCACACACAATGCAGCACCAGCACACACTCCGGCCAGAGTGATGGCTGCTGTAGGCCCGAGCCGTAGGCTTAGTATCTGTCTTCAATTTGATCCCCAGGATATTATGTGTGTGTGGGGGGAAGGTGGGGTGGAGGCAATCGATTTTTTTTATTTTCAGCTCAAGCTTGCAGTTAGGCTTTATTACGGTGTTTTTTTTTCACATTACATTGCACAGTCTACACCATATGAGCTAAAGTTTGTGGAAAATGCCCTCATCAATGACCATCATGATGGAGTTGCCCCTCTTTGTGGCTTTTCACAGGTTTTGGAGGGTGTGTGTGGGAATGTGTGCCTATTTGTGAGGTCAGGTATTGATGTTGGGTGAGAAGACCCGGCTCACCATCGGCATCCCAATCCATCCTAAAGGTGTTCAGTAGGGTTGAGGTCAGGGCTCTGTGCAGGACACTCAGGTTCCTCCATGACCTCAAACCCACCGAACACCTTTGGGATCAGAAAACCTCATACCGAAGATGTTCCACAGGATTAAGGGCAGGTACTGATGTTTGGTGAGAAGATCAAAGGTGCTTCAAAAGTAGGGTTGAGGTCAGGGCTCTGTGCAGGACACTCAGGTTCCTCCATGACCTCAAACCCACCGAACACCTTTGGGATCAGAAAACCTCATACCGAAGATGTTCCACAGGATTAAGGGCAGGTACTGATGTTTGGTGAGAAGATCAAAGGTGCTTCAAAAGTAGGGTTGAGGTCAGGGCTCTGTGCAGGACACTCAGGTTCCTCCATGACCTCAAACCCACCGAACACCTTTGGGATCAGAAAACCTCATACCGAAGATGTTCACAGGATTAAGGGCAGGTACTGATGTTTGGTGAGAAGATCAAAGGTGCTTCAAAAGTAGGGTTGAGGTCAGGGCTCTGTACAGGACACTGGAGTTCCTCCACACCAAACTGGTCAAACCACGTCTTTAGGGAGCTGACTCCACTCCTCTGGGAAGGCTTTCCACAAGATTTTGGAGGGTGTCTGTGGGAATTTCGGGCCATTTGTGAGGTCAGGTACTGATGTTGAAGAACTGGTTCACCATCCTAAAGGTGTTCAGTAGTGTTGAGGTCAGGGCTCTGCACAGGATAATTACCGTATTTGCCGGCGTATAAGACGACTTTTCAACCCCTGAAAATCTTCTGAAAAGTCGGGGGTCGTCTTATACGCCGGTATAGAGCGGGCCGGTGTGTCAGGGCGGCACTTTTTCCAGGGGTGGTGTCCTCCAACGGACACTAAGTACAGGGGTGGGCAGAGGGGCTGCTGTACCTTACCTGGCTCCGGTCCCGGTCCCGGTCCCACGATGATCCGGTCCAGGAAGCGCGGCTGCTCTTTCTTTCAGTTCGGCCGCGCTCGATGGTCGCGCGCGGCCGCTCGGCTCCGCCTCCTTACCGGTGATTGGGCGCCAGCGCACACAGGCGACCAATCACCGGCGAGGAGGCGGAGCCGAACGGCCCCGCGAAAATCAAGCTGCCGAACTGAAAGAAGGAGCAGCCGCTCCTCTCCCCTACTGACACTAACGATGGGGCACTATTCTCCCCACTGACACCAATGATGGGGCACTATTCCTCCCACTGACACCAACGATGGGGTACTATTCCTCTTACTGACACCAATGATGGGGCACTATTCCTCCCACTGACACCAATGATGGGGCACTATTCCTCCCACTGACACCAATGATGGGGCACTATTCCTCCCACTGACACCAATGATGGGACACTTTCCTGCCACTGACACCAATGATGGGGCACTATTCCTCCCACTGACACCAATGACGGGGCACTATTCCTCCCACTGACACCAATGACGGGGCACTATTCCTCCCACTGACACCAATGACGGGGCACTATTCCTCCCACTGACACCAATGACGAGGCACTACTCCTCCCACTGACACCAATGATGGGGCACTATTCCT